AAACTATTAGTAGCCAGAATGAACTTTTTCATAAAATTTAAGATTCAGAACGTTACGTCATTTAAATTGTGGAGTCTACATTAACGATAACAAAAACAACATTTTTTTTTTCTTAAAATCTTTAAATCTGTGACTAGGAAATAATGCAGTTCTCACAAGTGTCCTGAAGAAAGCACTAAATCTAAGTCAATATAATTCACTGGACAACACTTGGTACTAAATAAAAAGGTTGGGGCATTGGACAATAACCCCACCAAAAGTTGAGAATCCTATGCCCAGCAGAACACACTGCTATGATACAAAGCCCCAGTTGAGTTGAAAATAAAATTTAATCTGTATTAAAAACAAATTTTATACCTTTTAAAAACATTTATACAATTTCTGGGCCTATGTGAAAAGTCTAGGTATAGATTTCTTGCACTTTAATGGTGTTTTCTGAGTATCTTCATGAGAAAGACAATTTTTAAATAAAAGTCTAATGAATGAAAACTTTAAAGTGGAAGCAGTGGATATATTCTTGGATAAATCTCCGTGACTCATATTAAGAGAAAAAGACCTAGATATCTGAAAAAGTTCTCTGCTGTCAGAAGAAGCAGAAGTCAATTTTTATCCTGTTTAGAGTCTAGCTCCATGAACTTTTCCCATCACGGATATCTCTAACTAGGATCCCATAGGTTATAAGACCCAAGTCATATGACCAGGGCTGGATTTGAGGCTGTTCCTCCCATGGAACTCCTTCTAGACCCTCACAGATGGCAGCCTCCAATGTCACTCAACATGTTGGAATAACATTCCCAATTGTGGAATAGTATTCTGCTAGAATCTAAAGAGGCCTACTAGGTGGTGTGCTTCCTTCTTTTCAGTGGGAGGTACAACATGCAAGAATTTGTCCTTGATGTTGACTCACTCGCAGACTGCTGGCTTCCTTAAAACTTCACTGACAGAGAAACTTCACTGTTTTCACCTAGAACAAATAACAAACTTTCTAAATCATACCCCAGGAAATAGCCTTGGAAATCATTGAAATCTTGTTATTTTCTCAGAAGAGCCAAGGGATAATAACATGAAATAATATGAATAGCAAGGCATAAGAAGAAATTTTGAGAGGAGGTATCACAAACAACCAGATTCTCTTCTGAGCTTTCTTATAATGACTTAGAGGACTTTCGTCTTTTGAGAACATTATAGTGGTGACCAGTCACTATTTTTATCTTGGTTTCTATGACCTCTGGTTGAATTATCTTCTTTTTCACCTCCATGTCCCTTTGCACAACATTCACTAATTAAGCAAATATTTATAAAACATTTGCTTTATACCAGGCCTTGTTCTAGGTTCTGAGAATACAGCAGCGAACATAAAGGCAACATGCCTGCCCTAATGAAGCTCAAGTCTTAGTGGGGATAAACAAACTGTCTGTCTGTCTATCTATCTATCTATCTATCTATCTATCTATCTATCTATCTATCTGTCTGTCTATCACCTATGAAAACAGTTTCTACATGAACAGTGAAGGAAGAAACTATGCCGATTTTCTCAAAGAAGAATGATCCAGGTAAAGAGAACAGCAAATGCAAACTTCTTGATGCAGGAATATGCTTGCCATGTTCCAGGAAGACAAGGTGTGCAGCATTGACTAGAGTGAATAGCACAAGGGGGAGAGTATGAAGAGATGTCACACTAGTAAGAAGAGACCAAATCTTGAAAGACCGTGATGGCTATGCTATACTTAGCTATGCAATGACTTAGGCTATACTATATTTGGACTTAAACAGGAAGGTGAACAGTTTTCAGGAAAGTAGTAACATGCTCTGATTTACATTTCAAAATAATCCCTCTGGCTGCTGTGTTGGTAATAGGTATCAATTTCAGATACAGAAATGTAGGTTGGGGGCTATCATACTAATCAATGAGAATATGGATGCTGTCTCAGTCTACAATGGTACAGGGACTTATTCGAACGGCTCTGGATTTATTTTGGACTCATTTTGATTCTGCATAGTAGAACTTTCTAATTAATTTTATGTGAGATGAAGGTAAAGGTCAAAAATAATTTTAATGTTTCTGGGCTGAGCTACTGAAGGTATAGATATAAAAAAGGGGGAAAGACAGAAAGAATCTGTAGGATTAATGTGTTGAAGGTCTTGGGGATGTCAAAGTGTGTTGGAGTTGGGACAGTAAAAGATGTGGACTATAAGGTCAGGAGATCGTGATCACAAAGTAGGATACATGACATTGATTTTATGGGTGTTCAGAGATTAAATGAATAAATTATTCATATGAATGCTGGCAGGGGTAGTGTTGAAGAGCGTGACAGTGGCCCAACACCAGATATTTACAAGGAATGAGGAGGGTAGATGACTGTAAAAAGTAGGACTGTTGTGAAATTCAAAGCTGGGCTTTACAAGGAAGGAAGGATGATCTCCATGTGGCAATGCATAGCAAAAGGTACATCAGGCCTAGTGATATAAGAGCCATGTTAAAAATAACGGGCATCTTCTGAGGGTGCTGCCTGGGAGGCTATGTTTTAGGTAGAACTTGGTTTTGAGAGTTAAGTTAGGGCACAGTAAAAAGTGACATTCAGGGAAGCAGCTGAGCATATGAGGGGTTCTGCTGATGATGTGCTCCATGGTCCAAAGGGCACAATGGAAGAGTTCCAACAGTCAGGTAGAAGATGGGATCCAAAAGGGTATGGTAAAAAGGTCTTGTCCTCCACAAAGCATCAGCCATTCCTTCTTAAAATCAAACTCAATTATTCATCTATTTAAACTGAATAAATAATAATTCATTTAACCTCTAAACACCCATAAAATCAATGTCATGTATCCTACTTTCTGATCACCATCTCCTAACCTTATAGTTCACATGAAGCATTTAGTACTGGGGGATGAAGAATGATGTGGGAGTTCTGGGCTTCCTGTGTGACTGACGTGGGTAGGCATCCAAGTCATAATGGTCCCAAGGAATATAACAGTGATGAAATCGTAGGCATTTGAGAGGAGAAACAAGTGAAATCGCGGCAAAAGCATGTAGAGATCTGGAGCTCCCACTGATGCAGGACAGTGGCCAGTAGAAGGTGGGCATATTTTTGATTGATCTGTTATAACATCTTTCTTTCACATATATATATTGAGTTCATAGAGAAAACAGAGTCAATACTAATATTGCGGACACAAAACAATGAAGCTCCAGACCATTTCTCTCTATTGACATGAGACTTTCACATAATTATCAGGTTAATCTTTCTAAAATGGATTTCTTCATGGCATTTTCTTGTTAAGTCTTCATTAATATTCTTACTTTTACCTGCATAATATTCCTTATCTCCTAAGTTGGCATTTAAAACCATTCTAAAATGTCTTATATCTGCTTTTCTTTTCTAATTCTTTTGGGGTATTTACTTATTATTTAGCTATATTTGTTGAACACATATTTGGTGTAGACACTGGGGATACAAATGCTGAATATTCACGGCCCAGCCCTCTGGACTGTCTTTCATTAAATAGTTGCTTTATTTCTTTATATGACACTGCACTTGAGACTACTATTCCTGCCCTCCTCCTTCCTGCTGCCTGCTAAAGAAACAGGTGTTTCTCTGCCAGAACACCTTCTCCTTCCTCAGTATGCATCTATGATTTACTTATGATTTCTTGACCAGGTCAATTTCAGCCTCTTTTTCCAGTAAATGTCCCAAACACGGGAATATCTTCCTTTCTGAACATACACTGTTTTTGTCACCAGACCAAAGCCTAACTCCAAGTACTTGCTCACTAAATATTTGATGTGGAAAGACTAGCACCTGTTAATGCACTAAAGAATGTTCTCTAGAAAAATCAAGCATAGTGTATCTTTTCATTCATTCAAAACTCATCTATTGAGATACAATTTTGTGCCAGATATTGTCTTTGCTGTGTGGGTTCTTTTAAAGCAAGGTGTCTTCTGCCTCTTGTTCCTGCAAACATCTTTTCTGAAAGCCAAAATTCATTTTTAATGAGAAGCAAAACTGACATTAGTCCTCTAGTAACATAACGAAGACATGTTTAACATTTGCCTAGCAACAGGTTTCCATTTGGAAACAGAAATGTTCATCTCTATTATTTTAAAACATTCTGTATTAGTTACCTATTGTTGCTGTAACATGTTACCATAAACTTAAAACCACACAAATTTATTATTTTATAGTTCTGTAGTTCAGAAATCTGCAATGGGTCCTTGCGGGCTAAAATCAAGGTGTCAGCAGGCCTTTCTGAAGATCATAAAGAAGAAACCATTTTGTTGCCTTTTCCAGCTTCTAGAAATTGCTCACTTTCCTTGCATTCCAGTCCTTTTCCATGTTCCACCTCTCTCTAACATATTTAAGGGGCTTGTGGTTATGTTTGCCCCACCAGTATAATCCAGAATGATCTCCCCATCTTAAGATCAGAGAATCAGCAATCTTAATTTCATCTCAGCCTTAACTATTCTTTGCCATATAACCTCAAGCTTTCACACGTTTCAGGCATAAGAAAATGGGCATCTTTGACTGCCATTATTCTGCCTATGGTATGCCCTTAAGAAAGTGAGGCATCAGATATCATCACCATGGAAGTGTCCAGGCTTCTAAAGGTGTGGCACTATGCTGCTCATCCATCAACTTTGATGCCTCTGCATTCAGAAGTAAGGGTGCAGGTTAAAAATCTCATGGGCCAGCATTCACTCAGAATCATTGTGGACTGAGAGTAATTTAGACATTTGCAAGCCTTGTTCAGGGATGTCTACAGCACTATCATAAATATGATATTTTGTCTAGATGGAAGAACTTAATAAAATTAAGCAGAAGAAATGGTTGAGGGAATTATTCTTAAGGAAGAAAATGATGAACCTGGCAGCAAGACAGGGTGTGTTTTGGTTTGCTTACTGGGAATAATTTATACTCTCTTAATAAAAAAATAATGGTGATTATGTTCAGATGAGTAGAACTGGGTGTTTATTTGAAATTAAGCATGCTACCATCTTACTACAGATGACATCACACATGATTGTAACTTGCCTCATCTGCCCAAACTGTAATGGATACTGTGCAAGTTTCAGAAGAGGATTTGTGTTGGCTGGCTCCTGCTGGCCTTTAGCCATGTGTCCCCAAGGAGAAAATGTTTAAACAAAAGGAAAAGAAAATGCATTCGAGGACTGAGATGAAGGGAACAACGAACGGGTCAGGAACACTAACTTCATGTAAGCAGTATTACAAGGCAGACAACTGTTGATACTTTTTTAATTAAATAAAATTACTCTCCAGAGACAAGGATAGTTGGAGAGTTCTAATAAAACAGAAATTGGATGTCTAATATACACATCCAGATGAAAATCTACTAAGAGTACTCGATACAGAATTAGCTAAAATTTGCTTAAAATTAATTCGATATTACTTATTAAAACAAAAAACCATCTTTAAAGTAATATGGAAGTTCTGTGGCCAGCTTATCTAATGATGATTAAACCTATTCAGTTCTTTCTGAATAGAGGTACATGTTAAGAATGGGGAAACTTTTCTCCTATCAGTATTTTTATCATGCCAGAAAATATAAAGTTATACATACACATAAAATTTTCACTACAATTTTGTTTCCCTTGGCTTTTTTCCTTGCAGACATTTTTCCTTCCATGTTTCTTTCCAAAATCCCATTTACAGGATGGTTTTTCCAATCCACACTAAAAAGTTAACTGTACAGAATGTCTTACTTTTTTTTCTTGCTTAAGGCTTTATGCATTAGATGTTCATCAAATGTTGAGAAAATATGTGTTGTTTAATTATCTATTTCTTTTTCACACTTGTGGCTGCACTTAGTGCTTTTATTGAAAGTATGCTCTTGGAAAATATATTTTAGCATTTCCAAGATTACTGACTTTTATTTCATTTTGTAAAACATAGGTTAATTTAGAAAACAGTGGTCTTTTGAAATTGAAATACAGATTTAAATTTTTAAGGAAACCCTTTGTAACTCAGTTCAGCGAGTTGATGTATTCATTTTTACCAGCTGGGATGCGGTTTGACCCATTCTCCTTGGCCCTGGCAGCAGTTCCAGGTTTCCTGAAGCCGATTGTGATCTTAACACATTGTTCTTATTTCTGACAGCATTTTTAGTTTTAACATTTTCAAGAGCACATTCTTTTCCTTGTACTATTGAATCTAATCCTGTGAGGAATAGAGATACTTGCTTACCACCTGGATTTTGTTCCTTAATGACAGACCCATAAAACTGCTGAACTGGAGGAAATGATAGCATCTACAGAGTTCTGGAGGATCACTGAGACTCATCGTCAGTCCTTACCTTGCCTCCCTCTGGGATGAGAAATGGCTGTTGTAGACATGTATTCCAGCATAACTTTGCCCAGCTACAGGGGAAGAGAGGAGCTTTCTCTCTGGGAAGCCACATAGAGGTGCATGGGGGAAAGCCACCTGGATTTTTGCTGGTTACATCTCTATCCTAAGCTCAAAGGTGCATATCTTTTTCCTTCCATAGGAATGCAGCCTCCTCTTCCTCTTTATTTTATTTGACTAAAAATTGAACATAACTATGTTTTCTACGTAGTGCCAAATATCTTGGTATTTATAAATGTCTGGATAATTGATTTTTTTAAGCATTTACTCACACGTTTTGAGTTATGCCAATGGTCCACTGTCTCCTTTAAGGAGGAAAGGAGGCCCCTTTCTTGACATGCTCATGCAGAAACATTGCAATACATACTGGAGTTAGTATATATTGCAAATTAAATAATATTATAATATTCCAACTTATGGTCAAGGTAGTATGAATTTTCACACAGCTTTTTTTGTGCCAAACTGGTATCAAAAGAAGATACAGTATGAAAGGAGAAAATTAAACAAATATAGTCAGGCTTAAAAAATGACAGTATCTTCAGAGACTTCAAGTGAAATGGAAATGCAATGGTATGAGGATTTGAAGGGAGGGGTCTTCTGGAGTCTGAGCCCTCAAGTCAGCAATGGCCCCAGAGCTTTCAGCTCCTGTGGAGCCTGAAAGTGCTCAAAGACAAAGGAACGGCCCACAGCTGGAAGCCAGGGCCAATAAGGACTCTGGATCCCAAAGGGTATCGTATCTCCCACCCCACATTGATGTAAAAGGCTGAATAAAGTGCTGCCAAACTGCGGGTTTGTGGCTGTAGATAATATAGCTGGCCTAGACGATCGAGAACTAAAACAGGTCAACAGCTGATTTGGTAATGTGTACTCTAACAGCCTTAGGGTCACTGCAAGGTAGGTGCCTTAACCTGTCATTATAAAATCTACTTCTGGAATGGGGTCAAATGATGAGGATGGGCAGAAATGGTTAAACAGAAGAACAGCAGCAACAACACAACATCAAGAATTCAGCAAGAGGAGAAGTGAAACCAGAGGAAGGACAGAGAAGACTGGGAAATCGAAATGGAAGGTTTGACCTTACAAGCTTGACCCATTAGATAAGTGGAGCTCACAAGTCCCAATTCCCATAGAGTGTATATCTATATCTATATCTATATCTATATCTATATCTATATCTATATCTATATCTATATCTATCTATATCTGTCTATACTTTTAAAGTCTGCATGGAATGTTTGCAAGTATTTGCCACATACTAAATGACAAAGAACATGTCTACAAACTGCAATCGGTTTCATGAAGTATAATTCATGATAAAAGTTTTTCATCCTCTGCTTTACTAAGTTGTCTTATGAGGTTCTTATTTCTTGTGCCTAAGGGATCCCTGAAAGCTGTTATAAAGGATATATCCAATTATTAAAAGTATTAGAGAGTGTCGACCCATGGTGAGACCTGAGGCAGGGAGATCTACTTAGGAAGCTTTTGAATTAATGCAGTTCTAGTCAAAGACAGTTTATCAGGGGTGCAATGGGAGAAAAGTAGCTTTGGGTAGCAGTCGAAAGTCAGTAGGTCATGAACCACACAAACCTGTGTTTTCTTGGAATTTCATCACCCTCTTACTAAGCCTTTTTGATCATCATCTGTCTAATGTGTAAGTGTAGAATGAGGATAACCAATACTGCTTTCTGGTTGGTTGTGAGGACCAGAGATAATCTGTGTAAACACTTTTGCAGTTTCTGGTACAAAATTACCCCTCAGCAAATGTTAGAGTAGTAGGTCATGGGGAGTTAAAGTTAGGAGGCATATGTATGATGCTTCTATGTGAAAAATAGAATAAAAATTGCTTGGTAATTGACTCTGGTTTTGAGTAACAAAAGATTAAAAGACAGTTCCAAGAGGTTCAGGAAGCCAATATTTGAATAAAATTGAATACAAATATGTTATCTGCATAGTGTCAAACATCTAGGGTTTATAAATGTCTAGATAATTAACTGATTTTTTTCAGCTTTTATTCACACATCTGAAGTCATGTCAACACAACCTACAAATCAACCCAGCAGTTGTATGAGTCCTATTTTGACCACAATAATGATTTTTTACAAGATATAAAAAGTTCAATGCATCTAAAATTTAAAATCTAAGTATTTATTTAGTGTTTCACCATTTTCAAATTGTACTCAGTACACAAATTCAGCTTCAAGTCCTTTTATAATTGGCACATGCACTTTTCCCTGAATCCAATGTAAATTAGCTAAAATGCAACTCACTTCACTATTAATAAAATAGGGCTTTGTCTGAAGTCCAATCTCTATGTTATTTTCTATGTTTTAAGTACATCACAAAATAAAATTATGAATACTTCTAAACACTAGTCACTTTTTAAATAAAAAAATAAAAGAATGAAAGATCTTGATATTTCACATCCTTTTCTTATTGAAACAACTTTATGACTTAACTGACTTCTGCATGAGCTGGAATAGGGATCATAAATATTTTTAATTAGAAATCATGAGAGGAAAAATATATAAAATATAAACCATGAACAGATAGCACAAAATATATAACATATGGAACAAATAAAAATATATCCATTTACAAATATTATGTATTGCTATTTAATCAGGAATACCAAAAGAAAGTGGAAAACAAATCAACAAATGAAATAAGAAAGTAAACGAAATTGATGGGAAGGAAGGCTTGGAAGAAAGATGTAAAGAAATACAATATGAAATAACAGAACTTGGTAACTCTTATAAAGAGAGATGCAGAGATACGCTTAGGCATCGGCTTCTTGGAAGGTAATGTGGTAAGTCCCATATATTTCCTTCCTCGCTTAAATACTGCCTTATCTGTACCTATCAATCACCATCCTTTCTAGATACAGAGGGGATGATGTCCTTTTGCCATTTTGTGAAATTCCAACTGACTTCTTGTTTCAATTATGTCACCTTCCTTCTGTTTATGAATGACTCCAAAAACATTTTTTCCGACATCTCCAGTATATCTCCGAGAAATCTAACTTATGATAGATGCCCTGGAAGCTGTTATCTATAATGTTTTGCTTTTTTTTTTGTAGTACTAAATGTCTTCAATGAGCTTAATACATCTACTGCTTCAATCTCCTTGACATTTGGTCACTTTAAAATTCTACTACTCTCATGAAGCTTAACTCTTGCTCAAAAATGATAATCCAAACAATAAATCCAGTGGCCTTTTAAACGTCTTCCACTTGACTTCTCTTTGCTCTTTAAATAATAGAAATCTCTCCCTCCTTGTTTAAGATCTCTTCATCTAGGTTTTATAAAACCACAAAATCCTAGTTTGCTACCTAACCACTCAGACCATTCTTCCTTTGCCTCCTTCAAAGATTTATTTCCTCATTCCACCCTAACTTCTCACCTATATACAGTGAAATCAGTGATGTCACCCTGCCTTCTTGTCTATATACAGTGATACAGAGGAAATCTCTATAGTTGAGTGCCTATTAAACAAGAAAGGAAAGTTATATTTCTCAAATTTTTATAATCACTTTCAAGGTGATGACTTCCAGGGACCCAAACTAACTCTAACTTTAAACTACCTGCAGAACACCTATCTACTCTGTACTTCCTCATCAGGGTGTTTCCCTACCACTTAAACCTGTCTGGAAGCAAACACCTCACCTTCCTCTCTAAGCACAATGGCACTTCTAACTTCAAGAGATTTGGAAGCTGTGCTTCAGTCTGGATCTGCCACTCTGGATCAATTTATCAAATCGGTTACCAAGAATAAACTGGATTTTCTCTTCTAGGTCATTAAAAAATATAGACTCCATTTTTTTTATTATCATGATTTAATTCAGGTCTTTCCTCATTCATGGAGTACTGAAATAACCATGTAGCTGGTCTCCCTGACTTCATTATTTCTCCTCCAGGCAGCAATTCATCCTCATGTCGAAGTGGTTTCCTAACACATATCACATCATTTCCAGCAGCGCTTCAAAGTGTCATACACCTCTCCTTATCCTGACATTTAATCCTGTCTACTGATCATGGTAGTTTTATCTTCTCCACTTCATAGTATACTTTTGCTGTGGCTTACGTGTCCACTGACTATGAACTGGACATGACTGATATCTCACTGCCCAATTCTTTGTTCCTGCTATTTTCTTTCCCTGAAGTCCCTCCCACATCCTCTCTGCCTATTTAAATACAATTCAGGACCAGCATAATCAATTTTGCCCTTCCTTCTAAAAATCTCTTCTGACCATCTCAGCCCTGATAATTCTCTTCTTTGCAGAGCTGCTGTAGGGCATACTGTTGTATATTGTCTTTCTAACTAGACTGTCACGCAACCAGTAATAGCTGATATTTCGAATACCCTTCAACGCTCGGAGGAGTGTTTTATCCCATAGTAGGAGCCTAATCAGAATAGAGATTTTGCTGAACAGAAAGTGCTCAGACAATTATATCTCCTCCACTGTATATTTTCTCTTTTAAGACTTAATTTCTCATTCTCATCTCTTCTACATTTTCCAAAAGTGTCACTTTCAGTTCTTGGCTATTGGAAAGCAAATACCATTTTTCTTACATTTTTAAGTCAGAAGGGGTAGATTAATACCATTGAGGTCAGCTGATTTTTCCAATAGCCAGATGCCTGACAAGAGCCATACTGTGGCACAACTGACCTAGCTTTATGACATACATCCTGGGTAGTTCAGGAAGTTTTAATACATGCCTGCCATTTTGGAGCAATTATATATATAGTATTTCCTTTCACTCTCAGAGGTGTCCTGGCTTTGGTGATAAAGTATATGGTTACTTGATCTATACTGCCTCTCATAAAAATGCATTTATTTTCTAACAGAAATTAAAAAGAAATACTGTCATATTTTAATCATGTCATTTAATAATCCCCCACTATAAAAGCCCAGGAGCATTTTTATTAATGAGCTGGATTTCGTGATTTGGATGGGAAATGTGTTTGCTCTGAGATGGCTTCACAAGGTTTGTATGTACCATCTTAGATGATGTGCAGTGAACTGTGAGGATGGGCTGAGGTTTATGAATTTATAATAGGTACCATGCTGGGAAGGGCTGAAGGCAGAGAGTTGTAGCTGACTAAAAATCTCCCACAGAAACAGCTTTCAAAAAAGAAGATACCAACTGACCTGCGCTTGACCTGATCCACTGCTAACTGAGAAAAAAAGCAGCTTCTAGATTCGACTGAGTTCAAACCAGAGGAGAGAGGCTACAAACCAGTGAGCCAAAAGAGAAGATGGAGGAAGCCAGGAATTTGTAGGAAGAAGGAAAGAGCCATACCTAGTGTGCTGGCCCTAACCTCAGGTAAAGGGTTTGGCTGAACTGGCTAAAAGAATCAAGAAACTCTTTATATATTTCCTCTGAGATATCATGGCTCTTAAAAAAAAATTCTTGGCAGTGTTCCACTTATGCTACAGAAATCTATTCAATATGGACGCTCAGATTTCAGCAGGGGATTTGCTGTCAAATGTTTTGGTTCTGATTCATGGCAAATTTTCACATCATTTGTAGGAAACTTTCAGATTAACTCAGAGAACATATATATATACAGGCAGCTGAAAGGACATGTTTCCAAATTTTAAAAGGAAAAGGAATCATTTTTAAAATGCTTTCTATTAATTATTTCTCTATCTCTAGAAATAGCTGAAGTACTATTGCATTCTTAGTCCTCAGTCCCTTTTATTTGGAATACAATTTATATGTAATGGTTTATTTCACTTGTGAATAAACATGCAGCTCCACTTTATAAAATCCGGTAGATACTTTATGGTGATTTTCAGAAACTGACCTCCTTAGTATTGTATTTGCTTTGTCTAAAAGCATGCTCCAAATGAAGTGCTGCTCCGTTCCAACCTTCATTTAGTATTCCTCTTGGTGGGTTCTGACAGACAGGCTGCACTTGCAGTCCCACTTCTGCCTTTGACAGTTGTCAGTTCTGGTCTGCGATATCATGACTGAAGATTCATTTGTCTTGTCATAGTTCAAAAGGGCACCTGAGTTTTATCCCCTACCTTCCCCCGCTTCTTTCCCTACCTTTCAAAACAATTCTGCAACTTGGATTTCGGCCTCAACTCTTGGACATGCACATGCTGGCGGGGCGAGGCTCCTTCTGCTCACCTTCCCAGTGGAAGGAGCCAGGTTGGAAAGGATGGGAAAATGAAACTTGAATGTATTAATTTGTAAACTCCCAAACCAGTTGCTGTACCTGTCACTTTAGGCTTCTGAATTTCATTAGTGTTGACGGAGATGAACGGCACGTTCTAATTGAGGGCTTGCACCTGCAGCTTGACAGCAGTGGCTTCTTTATTGGCACTGGGATAAGGCCCCGTTCCCCAGGTCTGCTGTTCTAAGAGGTAGCAATCATTTTCACAGAATGTGTAGCTGGCAGAAGGCAATTAAACTGCAAACTAGTACCCAAAGGAAAAAGACCTCTCCTTCTTTCTCTATTCTCATCTTCTTTAGTCACTCTTCTGCAACCCCTTACCTCTAATGCTTTGAAATAGTGCCCTCCTTTAAGCCCCATGTACTGTAAACAGAAGAGAACAGAGTGGATAAGAATGGAGGAAGAAAAATAAAGAGAGAAAGGAAAAAATTATGATAGGTGAGAAAGATCAAAAGAACAAATATTTGAGCTCATTTAAATAAAATCTCACAATTTTTAAATTATGGCTCCAGATCATTTGCCTACTCACATACCACTGCCTTTCAGTTCAGTTAAAAAGCAATAGCTTTGTGTCAACATAATGCTACACATATAGCTGTATAAATACAAAATCCACTCATACCAAGGAATCTGTCTGAGTTATCTCTTAAGACTTTGTTTAACTAAAACTGTTCTCCAATGAGTTCAAGAGTATTCATGTGATTATATCTCTAACATTCCTTATAAGTATAAACCTATACATACTTGGCACTGCCACATGAAATACACACATATGCAAATAGCATGCTTGGTATATAATAGGCATTCAGTACTACCCACATACTCTCTATAATAAGTGGAACTGTCTTTACAATCCGTGAATGAGAATAAAATAAATCCATGAATGAAACTATACATATAATATCATAGTATGTTTTACCTGAAAACCTATAACATTTTAAAACACATAATTCTTTAATATATCCATTAATAAATGCAATTATTTGGCTTTTTAAAACAAGCTATTCTGTAGTCATTTTGGGAGGTAATAGCAATTAAGAATGTTTGAATCAGACAGATCAGGGCTTCAGATTTCTGTAACTTACTGTATATGTGACCTTAGTGAAGTAATTTAACCTTCAAGTCAATAAAAAATAAGGATAACTCAATAGAAAAACTGGGCAGATGTTTTAAACAGGCACATCGCAAACAGAGCTGTACAAATGGCTATAACCATAGGGAAGAAACAAAGCATTGTCGGAAACAGTTTTTAAATATCTAATGAAGTTAGGCATATTCACATATTCCAACAATTCTAGGTGTATGTCCTAGAAAAATGAGAGCATATTTACACTGAATGATAAAAATGACAAAGTTTGTGGAAGCATTTTTCAAAACACATATTAAGTGGAAACAACCCTAATATCGTCAGTAGGAAAAAGAATAAATAATGAATTAATGAAAATGATTGAACTGCAATTATAAACAACAGCACAATGGATTTTTATCAATATAAATTTTAGCCAAAAAAAGCAAGACATAAAGAAAAAAATATTATACAATTTCAAAAAGCCCTTAACTGCATTGTATAAGGGGGAGTATTCAAGTTGTAAAGCCATAAAAATCAAGATAATAATTATCCTTTTTTTTTTTTTTTTTGAGAGACAGTCTTGCTGTCAACCACGCTGGAGGGCAGTGGTATAGTCTCAGCTCACTGCAATCTCCGCCTTCCGTGTTCAAGTGATTCTCCTGCTTCAGCCTCTAAAGTAGCTGAGATTACAGGCACACACCACCATACCCTGATGATAATGGTTATCTTTCAAGAGAAAGACAGGGATTGGATTGAGAAGGAAGGAGCTTCTGAGTAATAGTCTATTTCTTGACCTGGATGGTGGTTACCTTTATATTTATATCTTAAACACTCTTTCTTATATGTATTGTATTTTTGTTACATAAAATGAATCTTTAAAAAGCAATACTTTTAGCTTTCTGTACCTATTTCCACTAAATCTCCCAAGAAATAAATTCACAGGATCATAAGCAAAACTATTTGGGCTTCTGGAATCTAATCTGAGACATTTCCCATTTTTAACCCCATTTTCTGAGTTACATTTATATCCCATCTCTTTCTGTCAGTATTGTTAGTTTAAAATCTGGGTTCTCAGGTCAGAATTAAGAAATGATTATTTTAGTCCATTGTGTTTGCAAAAGAAACATACCCCCGTTAGATTAAAAAGTCCCTTTTTTGATGTGAACTTTTGTAAAATTTGAGCTAATGATTCCTGTCCTTGGTTGGGTTGCTCATATTCTTTGTCATGTCTCCTGGGTGGTATTTTCCACATTTGTTCTTTATCTGTGGGTGAAAGTCAGCCATCTTCCATAGACATAGTGCAGAATTTCCAAGTATGCATCATCAGTTTTACTATATGTTCCATTCCCCACCTTGTGCACCTTAAAAGGATGAAGCATTGGGCTACCATAGAATAATTTCCTGGACTCTAGTCCAATTTGTAGTTCATATGTAGGAAGCCTTAATAAAGTACTGTATTTCCCCAACACTAGGGGCTTAGGAGGGAGGGACAGAAGAGTGGGTATCAGGGCAATCTCCTCTTGCTTGTTTATAGCTCCTTACGCTAGTAGCATTCTGCAGTGACTACACTATTATTCTTAAGGACACCTTGATGTGGGCTTTCAATGAAGTCCTTAGGCAATCGTCTAAGGAAAGAGATGAACAAAATTTAAGCCATCTTTTAAAAATTTCTTATCTCAGAGTAGCCACCAACTGCCTTCTCTCCTCAGCTGTGACAGCAGAATAGCTTTCATTTTCCTGAAGGTTTGTTTCCATTCTTGTTATTTCTTGTATTACATGTTTCATCTGTATTTTTCAATGACTTTTTTTTTTTTAGAAACCCAGTGTAGTGAGATGGAGACATATCCTGAAAACTGATAGAATTTATTACATGACAAGTCTTCAGTAGAAAATAAATGTAAATCTAGCCTGGATCTGAAGCTAAGGCAACCAGGGAGAACCAAAGCTAAGATACTCAGGTCCCCCACACCCCCAAAATACAAAAAGTAAAAAGGGCAAATTTGTGTGGATGAAATAATTCATACAAGTTGATGCTGCATCTTATCAGCACTTCATCAAAGTTTAAAGGTACTTAGAGTATCTATTGATTATTAGCATAGTGTAGCTACTCACTGAATTTAGTTACACAACCTTGATGAATAATTATGCAGTACTTCCCATCCTCAATATTATTAAGCACCTATTATTGTGTACTCTTTCAGGCTAATGGAAGTATGATGGTGAGCACGACAGACAAGGTCATTGCCTACAAGGAGCTGCTGATGGAGAATGACATGCAGCGAAGAAGGTAGTATGCAGACATATGTGCTCTCATTTCAAGTTGATTGGACCCAGAGCATAGGTGAAGGATTTGGTCTTGTATGGGGACAGGAAATCTTTTTCCACTGTGGAATATAACAAAGAATAAAGAATTTGTGGTGGAAAGCAAGGGAAATTATCACCTGATTTTTTGCTAGGTAAGAAATTGACATGATTGCCTACTATGATTGAGAAGGTGGTAAAAAAGTTACAGGTCGAGGGTGCTGAAAACAGCAAAGAACACATTAAAAGAGACGAGCATGCAAACATAGAGGTAGCAACAGACACCATTAGGAGAACAGCAGGGGTTGAAGATCATGAATTTACAGTAAATCAGTATGAATAACTTTGTGATATTTTTAGCCACTTGGAACCACTCAGATTAGATTTATTCAGTATTGAGGTTGCTGAGTGGGTCTGAATGAAAGACTATTAAGGAAAAGGGAATACTGGGGAGACAGTTCATTTGATTGTTGAAAAGCTGTGTTGACTTCGTATTGAAACCTTTTGTTACATACATCTTAAAATCTTGCCCTCTCCAAGATTACAGAGCAACAACTCTGTCCAGTGGTTACTGGAGCAGCAATCTGCTAGTTAAATTTTACTAATTTTGCTGTGTAAAAATGGCTTCAGTTTAAACATTTTTAAAAAATCGTGTGCAAAATAATTGCCTCAGAGGATTTATGATGGTGTATTTTTTGGCTTCGTGGTCTACGGAAATATTTAAAAGAGCTACAAAATTAGGTAATTTAAAAAGCAGTTACTACACAAAATTTGATCTTTTTAATGATGACCTGCTTGAAAATGTTTAAAACTTTAGATTGAATGATGATTTAAGCACCACCTCATGAACTCATAATAAAATACTTACCTAAACACTTAAAGAAGAGCCAGAAAAAAAATGTTACCATAATCTGTGGCTAAAATGCTTAGCCAGTCATCTCACCTCAGTAATCATATTTTATGATCAAAGTAAAGACAAAAAAAATGTCTCTTTTCTAAGTTCTTAGCTTTTGCTTTTTCCTAATAAGGAGAAAACATGCTATAGTTTGTGTGCCTTCAAATTAAAATTAATCACATGAGAACTAAACAGCTACTTCAAATGATTACAGACTGAATCTAGCAAAACAGTATCAGCCTTGGTGACAATGAGAGTAAAGTTGTATTATTGTTCACGGATGTCAGGAAATAACTTCTCCAGTGGATAGTGCAAACCTTGAGAAAACATTAGTATAGAAGTATCACTTGGTGCTCTGAGGTCTCAGAGAAGTGGTCATTCTGATTCTGAATTTCTAAGCATGGGTATCAGCAGATTTATTTTATTTTTTAGCATGGCAGCTTTCAGCAAGGAGAGTTGCAAGTAGATCAAAGCCAAAACATGTGCTTTAAAATTGATACCATGCACTCAGCAACTGGCTAGGCAATCTTGAAAATGGCTTCACTTCTCTTAGCCTCAATTTCTTCAACTGTAAATCAAAGTAGTGCTGCTCAATAATTTCGAAAAGTCTTTTTAGTTCAAATAACATGTGCCTTTTAAAGATAGTATTTTCTGGATTGTAGATATTATCTCTCAACGGTGACTCGTCCAGCTTTTCAATGACAGGAAAGTGAATTATTCTGATGGTATCTTAAGGGGGTGATCTAACAGGTTGGTGAAGTGGGAAAAGTACATGCCTAGAAAACATAAAACTTAGGTTTGGGTCTGGTAATTCCATCAAATGTTGTTTACAGCAATTTCCACACTGGTAACCTGGGAATTATCATATACCCTTTCTCTTGCAGGATTAAGATGCAACAAAATATATGAAAGAAATTTAATAAAATAACAAAGTATAACCAGGAAAGATTATCAAAATATGAATGATTTGTCCTCTGTGCAAGTTTAAGCACATGTCATCATTAAGCTCTAGAAGGCTAGGGACTGTGCATTGGCACTGGGGTTTGGAGTACAGCATTTGTATATCCACCAGAAAAACTGAATTATGTGTAGTAGAACTGTTAGGCTAATTCTTCACAAATTAATCTTTTAGTGAAAGTAATTCTAGCTAATATTCCTGAAAGTTTATTTGGGTTATCTTATAGGTTGATACTAACATTTATTAGGATAAGAAAACAGGCAAGAACAGCCAAGTCAATTTTGAAAAATTGCAGTGATGAAGGCATTGGAAACAGTGAGGGTTGGGGGAGGTTTGATCTATGTGGTAACTAAACAAAATGGATATTAGAACTCTGTCACTGGCATAAAGATCATCTGGCAAAAAAAATGATTAACACTGAATGGAACATCTACTGAGTTTGCTAACTAAGAATGTTCGATTCATGAGAAAAACACGAACTATTCTATAGCATTGCGACAATATGCTCTCCTTTAGGGTCCTCAATGATTCTAAAGAATTTAGAATTCTTTACAGAATTACCAGTGTAAAAGAACAAAACTCTAAAAATTACATTAGAAAATATACGCAAATATGCCTGCAAACCTGGGCTTATCAAGATAGAAAATGCAAAAGCTATAAAGGAAAATAATGCTGAAAATAAAAATAAAATGTTAAATCAGAAACTCTAATAAACCAAGTTAAAAGATGATTTTCAGATTAAAAAATGTACATAAAAAGGATTAACATCTGGAATAAAGAAGAACTGTATGGACACATCAAAAAATCCAGAAAAAGATGAAAGGGAAGGGAAAGGAGGACAGGGGAAGGGAGGGGAGGGGGGAATAGAAAAGGGAGAAGGAGGTAGGGAGAAGGGAAGGAAGGAAGGAAGGAAGAAGTAGCCTGAAGTTACTGATATTTATTGATAGCATTCTTGAACCCCTAATATGAGAGTAAAGCCAATCTAAGCTCTCTAAGGCCTTTTGGATATCAGATAAATGGGAGTGGATTAGGACTGTGGCAATTTTATTTGCATCTCTAGGTTTAGATGGAACTAAAAAATTTTGTGAGAAACAGAAAGAAAAGAAATCCCGGCACAACTGCCATACATGTTTTCAAAGTCTTTTCACATTTGACTTTGTGATTTTTTTATTCTCGAGAAGGCAAAAGCAGATAAAATAAAATCAAACTAAACAAAAGATTTCCAGCGATGTGGTTTGGCTTAATCAAGCCTTCAAACACATTCGAGCTTTCTGTTCAGGTTATTTGAATATTAAAATATAATCTATGTCAAGGTAGACTCAGTTCCTATCGACTACTCTTATACCTTTGAAGCTGTATTTCATAGGTATTTATGTAAAAACAGCACCTTTACTTGTACTTTATGCTTACCAAAGAACAGTTAATAGATTTTATAGTTTGGCCAAGGTCTAAATTTATCCAGAAAGCCTGTGGTGGTATTGTGTACACAGTTATGTTTTGCTTTAAACATAATTAGATTTCGTTATGTGTTCAATAAACATTTTATTGAGAATGTCACAATGTCCATGGCCATACAGCAATCCTAACAGCCAAAACATTGGTTGAGCATCAATTCTTTCAGTCATATTAGTAGTGTGAAACTGATTGTTTGGAAACTGGAAGGGACAGTCTGCTTAAGGCTGAGCAAAATCAGCCTAGAGGTAGCCTTGACTCTCTTAGCCTGGGAGGCAATACACACTTTCTCCTGGGAGGCCAAACATACTTTCCCCTGCCAAACATACTTTCCTCCTGGTGTCAGCAGGAGATTCCCTTTGCAGTTGTTCTACCCATCTCAGTACTTAAGTCCTTCCCTGGTTTCCCTCCTATGTGCCCATGCATATGTGTTAGCTCTGCATCAACTCTGAACATTGAGCAAGGAAGTCCAACACTTAAGAATAAATCACAGACTCTGGAGCTCAGAATTAAAAGTCTGCTGGGATATCATCCTTTCCCATTTCCCATCATACGCTCCACACTAGCGCCTTTCCACCCTGTGCTTTCAGAGCACTCTTTTTAAATCCTCCTCACCTTGAATCCTCAATTCCTTCCATCTCTACCTAATCCAAACTCTTCCACTTTTCAAGACCTAGCTCAATGTCCACATGTTTCTAAAAACTTTTCTCATCTCCTGATGCTTTTTCATTTTTTGTATCTTTGGAATATCCTTGATAGCTCTCTGAGATATTTATCATCATCCATCTTATCTTTGGAGATGTCTCATTTCAAAAGTAGATTCTTAAAAACAAAGAAATCTTGTTAGAATATTAAATGGAGACAGTAACAACCTTGAGGCTTTCTTTTCATAACTTTTTAAATTGTAAAATACTCTACTTGCTGAAATGGTGGCTTAGAACCTGAAAGACAATACAAATTGGTGAAGATGAATTCTCTGAATCAAAAAGCCACATGATGCTTGAATGTCACATTATGGGAATCTGGCTTGAGTAAGTCTACTGCTTATTGGGGCACATCTAGAGCTTTTACATGAAGATCATGGAGAATTAGGGGTCCATAGCACCCCTGTGTATAGGAACAGAACTCTGACTTCTATTGGAGACATGGCTTCCAATGAAAGTACTGTATACTACCTCTTTTTCCCATTGTAGCCCTGTGACTGTGTTTTGTTCCAGAGATGTGAGTGGGAAGTTCCTCCATAAACCATCCCTAAGGTGTGCCTCTTTTGCCTTATCTTCCAACTTGCTACTTGGCATAAGAATGTGAAGGCTGGACTTGAAACAGTCACCTTCAGCCATTAGGAGAGACCCAACTACAGAGATTTTAGGAGGTGGAAGCAGTTCAGGTCTGAACCAAATACGTTGTCTTTGGGCTGCTTTGGATTTCTTTCAAGAGAAAGAGAAACAACAGCAACTTCTATCAACCTGGCAAATGGTAGTCTCTGTGACGTGCCCATTGTTAAGTCACAGTTTAGTCACATGCTGATGAACTTACTCCTAACTGATATAGTCTAGACAGCTTGGTTTACCTCTTCTAGCCTAGAGTGGTGAACTTAGTTCATTCTGAAACCGTAAGAAAATTTCATGTAACAGAGATCCTGAGTTCACCGTGTGTATTCTGAAAAGATTATGAATAGGCCTGACTCTGAAACAAAGCTCAGAAACATTGTGAGCTAAGACCAAGACTCCAAGCATGATTCTGCTTTGGCCTCTACCCACGCCTGTTGCCACTGCCACTCTCTGATTTTAGGCCACAATACTTCTCAGTTGGAAGAC